CTTCCTATACCCTTTATCTCATCCTTTCTTCTTTTCACCTTTTTTTTCTAATGCGGCCCCTGGTTACACGCCACATCGAGGGGAAAGAGAGGGCGTGGCCGTGTACTTCATTTGAACATGGCGTGGCCTTCTTCGTGGAGTATTTTTGCTTGAGAAAACAGTCATCCTGTCTTGTGTTGAACAAAGGCATAAATACTACTGTCTCAAAACAACGAAATACCCCATAAGAAGCGTGGCCGCGTCCACGTTCAAATGTAGTACAAACCACACCCCCTCATTTTTGAGGTATGGAGTGTACTTGTACACGTTTTGGGTGAGTATTGATTACTTATTTATTTATCGTTTTAGAATCGATAAGTAACGAAGAACGACTTTTGGAACAACTCGAAAAACGATTAGCTGATAGTGAACGTGCCTCAGACGCTGAGGAATGTTGCGAGCATTTAGATGTGAGTGCTCCTTTTTAGAAGTTCCTAGAGACTCTCAGAGAACAAAAATCCGATCAATATTTCCCTGCAGAACCTGGAGAATCTTCTGGAGAAAATTAGCTCATCGTTGGAAATTGACGAAGAAGCGACAACATCAATGGACGAGTCGTTTGTGCGCGATTCGTACGCGCGTCTGAATGAGTCGCGGCGTCGACTTGCAGATGCGACGCGCGAACGAATCGCCGAATTGTCGCGTGCTGTCGCCGACTGTGAACGATTCGAGAAGCAAATGGCCGATATGCAACAATGGTCATCACATGTTTCATCGCTTCTCGATCTCAGAAAATCCGGTGACGTCTCCGCGTTGGATGTACCCGATGAGTATAAGGTTGGTCCCATTTATATTGTTAAGTGTTGCCTGCACATTTCTTTTGGGTCTGTCGGGTTTCTAAGTGCTTATCACACTAGTGCTTTCCCCTTCTCTCTACCTGTGTCCTCTAGCCTCTTTCCCTGATCGATAGCGATCGATAAGCTCTTTTTAATTTACATAATTGTTTGTTATTTTCCGCTTCTTCCAGTCTGCTTTTGAGTCCGGAGTTCTAGTTCAAGTAAGTTCGGTTTGGCATGTGGTGGCATGTGTGATGGCTTGTTTGCATGCATTTGCGCTAAAACTTCAATGAATGACTAGTAATCGATAAAGTTTACGGCACGGTTACCAGCTGTCCCAGCCTTCGAGTGGTTTTTGGGATGGTTCTCTGCTCATTGAACGATGGGAAACTTATGAGAATGGACGGTGACCGAGGATGATTTATGCAGAAAGCTCGCGAGAGGGAGGGGGTATGGGACAATAAACTTCTCCATTAATTCATACATTACCTCTAAAATACTTTCTACATTCTCAGGAAAGTGCTGCACGCAAGTACAGTACTCTCTGCTGTACACAAGCCTCAAGATGTCAACGAAATCGGCCTTTGGAATTTTTTCCAGGCTTATTCCCCATACCCAAAAACACTGAGAATTCCCAAAAGGTCTCAGGAATTCCCAGGCGATATTTCGTTGTTTAGCGCATTTATCAGGCCTAAAACAGGACCTAATCATCATCCCGAATATATCCTAGTAGCTCCAATGGGTTTGCTTGAAGTCGAATTTACAGTCTTATTCGCTGCAGATGTAGGGGCGTGGCATGGCCAGTCCATTCTCCACCAATGTTGAATAGCGAGACGGCACAAAATTGCTAGATTACGGGCTGGCGCCGCGCCAAAGCCAATCCCCTGGCACACCTCGGTGTCCGAACGAACAATTCTATACCTTTCGGAGAAAATAGTGGCCTCTTGCTTTGTGGGGGGGGGTGGTCTAAAGGATTGCTTCTGCAATAGTTATGTATAATTTGTTACACAGGAGCTGTGTAAGAGCAAAAGTCTTTTTCTTCTCTTAAAGCTTTCGTGTCGGTACGAGTTGGCGATGAAGATCGTAATCCTTGCACGGATTATACGTATATGGTTCTTTAGGTGAAGCAAAATTCCTCATCATCCTTCAAGGAGCATAATTGTTCGAACAGCGCAAATGGATAAATCTTCCTGATCTTGTTCGCAGTAAAACAAAGGTCTCTTGGAGATAATAGCAGGAGGGGGCGCGGCGGGTTTGCGTTGCGCCTTCTAGTGTCGCACCCTCCTTTGGATAATGGGAGCGCAACAATAGAGACGCTCACGCGATAGGGTTCGGGACCTTGCCCAGATACGACCACCAATGGAATGTGTCTTTATGTTGTGAGGACTGATCGTACTCGACTTAAGAAGTATTAAAACAGCACCCTTATTGGCCGACGATGGGTGGAGGAGCCGACCTAATTTGCTCACTTCTTTATATCATGGCTCACCAATATATGTTTCGATAATATTCAAATTGATAAACTCCTTTTTCTTGCACGAAGGACCGGGTTTTCACCCAAACTTGTTTCTTTTAGGCTTGGGCCATCATAATCCCTTATGTCACATCGTTTTTTTGGCATTGCCAGCACGTATACTTCAAGCTGTGCTAACGTGCAGTCATGATCCCGATGCACGATGCCAGGGTCTGGCGCAGCGCTCAGAAGCGGCTGCCGGCAGCTTTTTTGCCCATGTGATCCTAAATCACTACAGGTATGTGTGTGCTGAAGTCTTGAGCTGCGATCCACCGTCACACCTATCTTTTGCAGGTTAATAATGGCTGTAATTCGGAAGGAATTACGCAGCGCGGTGCGCCTTCTCATAGTCATTTCTCCTAACCAGTACGTGACAAGTAGAGCTTTTGGTGTGCTGCCATGAAAAGCCAGAGAGCAGAGAAATACAGAACTGTCAAGGCATTGATAGGAGGAAAAAGTTATCTCGCGGACCACAAAATGAGCTTTCTCAAGGGGGAAAGGAACCCCGTGGTGGACTAGCCACTTATCATTGAAAAGTTGGAAGCAGAGAAAACAGAAAGTTCACATCATCGCAAAACCCCTCTTACATCAGCCTTGCTTCGAAGGTACGTGAGTCGGCTGGACAGGGTAGCCATCGTTGTGATCATCACAAGGGGGTCGTATTTGGTCAGAGAAAAATTTTTTTGATAGTTGATTTCTCTTGTTTCACGGACGCTGTAAAGGGGGGGGGTCGTACTTGGTCATTTTTGGGAGGGGGGTCGTATTTGGTCAGTTCACGGACGCACTACTATTTCCGACACTTGAAAATGATAGTTTAATTCTGACGACCTCCCCCCCGCTCGACGGCTCGGTTCGATGAGGAAGGACAGAGGGCTGGGAGGGGGAGGGGGGGGTCGTACCAAAACCCAAAAAAGGGGGTCGTATTTTAGTATGGAATTAGGGGGTCGTAATTTTCAGAAAATGATCACAAGGCGATGGCGCCCTGTCGCTGGATTCTCACCATCAGTAGGGAAACATTGATGTCCATAAAACCCTGGCAGCTTTGGGCTGGGAAGGGCACTGAGACGCTACCTATTACTGTCAATCGTTGATGCTCTTCCCCACCATCCAGAAATGGCCCCCAAATCACTTACCTTTGCTGCTATGAACAGGTAAGCAATTTGGACGCTATCTAATCCCTGGCAGGAAATCACCCAGACGATGCTGGTCATTTGTGCGTCTTCAGTGTTTCCTTCGGTTTTCACTTGTTGCATGTGGTTTGACGACTCATAACTATGTTCGTACGGTTTTGTGACTTTTTAACAAACACCAGAGTAATCAATATTTCGCTAAAATTTAGATTTCTCAAGTTTCTTTATTTCAGGAACTAGCAAAGGAATTTTCCACATGGTCGAGGACGTTAGACGATATTGGTGTGTGGTTACAGGAAGGCGAACGCCAAAACAACGAGCGATTCCACGATCAGTTCGCTCATGCCATGGTTTGTCCATTCGTAATCGATCGCCTGATCAATGAGTGTATTCGCTTTCATCCTCCTATCTGCTCTTTTGTTGAATAACCGTTTCCGCTCCTCCTTCTCAACAATTATATAAAAAAACCCATTCCGTGATGATCGGAATGAGCTCATAACCACTACGCCTTCCTCACTGGTAACGCTCCAATAGGCGAAGTGTTCTGGTTGAAAGTCTCCGCCCATCCGATTGTTGCGGATCCGCTATTATTACTGTGTTTTCAAATATAGGGTTGGGTAAATCCTTCTCTTTCCACACAAATTGTTCGCCACTTTTCCTATAAGTTTCTGCCATTAATCTGCAATATTTGTGTATGTTTCAGAACACTTTTTCGGAATTGAGCGACAAGTTTGCTGAATTCAAACATCCGAAATCGTTTGTGGAAAAACTCGAACGAACCGTTCACAAACTAGATGACATTGAGAATGCCTTAGACGACATGACAGGTTCTTTCACATTATTTTTCATTTTTTTTGTCATGCGCTACCGTAGTTGACGGGGGGAGGGCCAGTCAACAAAGAGGCGGGGTCACGCCACCTGGAGCCTATCGTCTTGACGATCCTCAACAGCCCTAGCATTAGGATGCGGCTTGGTTGGTGTCGCCCATCGCCCCTCCCAACTATATGAACACATTTTCTCATATTTTTCAATGGTTCAGTTATGACTTGATGAAAATCATCGATCCGATCGAATGCTCATTTACAAGAAAAACATTTGCACCGCTTCCCAAAAAGTGACCGAAGTCAAGGAGTGCATGGCACATAATCGCGATGCGCGAGGCTTTTCTCTCACCCCTACCGCTTCGGCGCACGTCCAGCCAGATAGGGAGATCAACATTCCCGATCGATTAGCGAAGTCTGGAAAGTTTGCCGTATAGCGAACTCTAAAGAGTGCACTCTTGTTCGCTGTAGGTTATGGGGCGTGTAAAGGAGGATAGGTTTGGCGTGGAGTCAGCCCGTTTTCTTTCGGCAAGAGACAAGACTGTATCATATCGTTCGTATCATTGTTTTCCACCATTGCTGTCGCTTGCCTTCTTCAACTATTGGTGGAAAGCAGCATGGCGCCTGGCCAAATCCAGCCCCCTGACAAGCTCGTCATCCGCAGCATGCAAGACTAAAAAGCAGAAGAGAAGAAGAGCCATAAGAAGAATCGAGCTCAATTCCAACAAAAGCCAATATAGCCCTCTCTCTCATTTGAACAATGAAATAATGCCCTCTGGTTACTTACATTGTAGTCCTACCCATTGACGCCATTTTAGGTTAGACGCCCTCGAAGTAACCGTCAGAAAGGGGCAGAGTGGTTGGCGCTATTCGGACGAGCCATGTGGGCGTCCACATCTGACGGTGGGCGATAGCGTGGCCCAGTGGGACGGCCGACTGATTTTTATTTGGTGGTCAAGGAGACTGCGATTCCTCCGACATTTAGCTATGGCACCAGCTAAAAATTTTGAATTGCCTAAGGAGTTCTGAAACAAAAAACCGTTTTAAATAGACCCAAGGTCGTTAGGGCACCGACGATGGCGTACCCTGGGTTACCATATAGCCATGCGGCGGCGGTTACGCGGGCTGGCATGGGTGCACTGATCTCAGAAGAAGGTCTCGAGACCACGCACGCGCCCCAGTGGAAGTCTCTCCTAATGGTAAGTGTAAGCGACCCCCGTATAATATAAACAGTAGGGCCGCGAACGCATAACTAAGACGCACCCATAAACGAAAAAAGTTTAAAGAGAACTCGGTGTAAGTGCTTTTTAATACACGAGGTTTTTGAAGGTATCGAAGCGATTTTCTGTGCGGAATCTTTGGATGAAGCTAGATGCTTAGTGAAGAAACTTATAACACTCGAAGAAGATGTGCGTAGCTTAGAAAAAGGCAAAGAGCAGTTGATTCAGGTTGGTTGGGTAGCGTCTTTTGGACTAAGCATTATATTTTGGATTAAAGAATAAATGCCTGTAATAGAGGTTAGTAAGTCAATGGATAGTTATGGCGGAGGAACATCAGGACGACCTTCTATGCTCGTCTGCGATCTCTTCACGAGTTAATGATCATCGGCATGGATTGAGCGACGCATGCGAACAAAGATATTATGGGTTTTTTCGCACTGGCTTTTCTACCTCCATTAATACTGGATATTCTTCACAATATTTAATGATTATACATAATAACAACGCTTAGTTATTAATCATTTTGAGCATACTTGTTTACTTTTTATTTACGTTAAATCCTTACTTATCCAAGTTTCCCCTCTTTTTCATTGTCTCTTGCACTTGTCGGATTTGTCGGACCAAAGAACCTCTGAAAGTGCAAGTTTAGCCCAAAGAATGGTGCGTATTAATCCCGTCATAAGTCTTCTGCCCTTTTCTTTGGTGCTGTGTTACTTTCTGCTCGCTCCGCCCTTGTACGTCAAAATTCCCTCCCTTTCCAGTAAGCTGCTTGAACTCGAAACTAAAAAAAACTTGTATACTATAGATTTTAATTTGTTACTTGGTAGAAAATATTTGCTTTACTATATTGAGCATGTATCTTTGAACTCAGTTGCTTCTCAGAAACTAAATAAATAAGTTACAAAAAATTGAATTTCTCAAATTAAGAAAGACTCCTAGAAAATCATAAATCCTGAGAATAATCTGTTCAGGAAGGAATTTTCGACAAGGAATCTGCTGCGCCTTTTACAGAGAAGATCCGGTTGTGTAAGAAAAAGACGAAAGAACTCGGATTGGTGGGTCATAGTCATTATTATTATTATTATTATTATTCATTATTATTATTACTATTATTATTATTATTAGTTATTATTATTGTTATGTTCGTTATAATAAATAATTATTACTATTGATAGTAAATCAGATGAGAAATTCGGCTTTCGGAACTTCAATAGGTCGATTTTTCCAAAGTGCTTTATAGAGCGTATTTCAAAAGCATTAACCTTCAAGGCACAATCCATGCTGTTCATAAGGGCGGGGCCAGACCTATCTTTGTGCCACCCTCATTACTGTGGCCATACCTTTTGAGAGTCCTGAGAGGAGAGCTGCGCCAATGCACAGGGTGGGTCCAACCCCGCCCACACGACCAGCGTGGAGTGTGCTTTCAACGCTGGCTTTTTATATGCTGAAGTATTAGAGCGTCACAGAATCAATCATTTCGGAGATATTAGGGCGCGTTAGGCGCATGGCGCACCCTAGTTCAGCCCTCTCAATTGTTCACTTCAGAGAGCCGAGGATACGGTCGAACGTCTAGACGATTGTGTAGATATGTATAGCAAGCTGTTGAAAGAATCTGAGGCTGTGGAAGAGTTTCTGGACCAGCTGGAATATCGCCTTGATAAATACGCATCTGAAGACAAAGTGAGTCATCAGCAGATCTATGCTACTCTCACAGTTATTGATTTATTGATTGTAGGCAAATGATGAAGAGGTAGTCGATGAGCTGGTTAGCGAATGGAATCGCCATGAAGCGTCACTGAAGAATCTTGAAGAACTGGAACGTATTCTTCGTGAAAACGCTATAAAAATCAGTGAAAGTGTCTGTATGGAAAAACGACGCCGAGCTGATGCGCTTAAAATGCGACTGGACGGCTGGAGTAGGACTGTGCAGGTGAGAAAGAACTGATTTGGCGTGACCACGTAATGAATAGGCCAAATTCTTCGAATGGCTAGGTTAGCTGGGCTAGTAGTGGTTGAAGTAGGCCACAGTGAAATGCTTTCTTCCGTGAGTTTGTCGAACGGCTAGACCTACCCCATTTGTTATGGACGCTTTTTCTACTGCAATTTGCGTTGGCGTGTATCGGACCAACTCGGCGTCGCACGTCCGACGGTCAGCATTTAGGGTCCTCTCATCCTTGACAAGTCTAAAATGAGAGCCCGTTCTTGAGTTCCAGGAGGAGAGTCAGATTTGGCTCGATCTGGAAATGAATGGACTCGTAGTAACGCGGAAGTAAGCCTAAGCCTTGGGAAGGAGAAAGAGGTTTTCCATCCTATCTGATGATGTATATGGCCCTTCACTTACCTCCCCCCCCCTCGTCCTACTGGACTTTTTCTGAGAAATCGGAGGTGAGAAGGCAGATGGAATTAAAAATTCGTGTGTCCCACTCGAGGCGGCTGTGAATAAAGGCGTGACCTGAATAAAGACCAGATTCTCCTCCTTTATTCATGGTTAAGCCCTGCTCGCTCCCATCATACCATTTACAAAAGACCGCTTATCAGGGGGTTCCCGCGGTAGGTGAATTTGCATATGGGGCCGGGGCTTCCTGAACCATTGTTTTAACCGCAAACCGCAGCGATTTTGAAGTCAGTTAAAGCGTACAAGAAGCGTAAAAATTTGTTAGGTAGTTGGCAGTCTCTGGGAAATACATCCTGTGAGGGCAGCGCTCTCGATTCATTTGCTTTAATTACACCTTCTGTGATGTGCCATATTCTGTAGATGAAACCCGTAAAAAGCGCACGCACGGCAGGTTTTGAAAAATGAAGCGCGACTTAAGCAAGCTCACCGAGCGGCACCTGGGAAAATTTCAATGCTATGGCTTTAGTTCACTCGTTCAAGTTTTCACATCTTCATCTTGACGTATGTGGGTCAGAGAGATTCAATTACAGGCGACGGCGCAAGAGAGAGCACGCGCCTGGGCACGTCGCGGACATCACTTCCACAGCCGAGTCGAACCTCCTGACCCACACCGTCGGTTGACTAGTTGAGCTGAATGCGTACCATTTTTTTCTACGTATGCCCCTCCCTGTCAGCTTCTATTGGGAGCTACTGAGCTGACACAAAAACTCTTATTTCTTTTTTTGAGTATTGATATCATATTTTGCATATTTCGTCGGATTTGGTAGACACAAATGAGGGAATAATTGAGCGAAAGTACAGCAGAAAAAGAGTTCATTGAAGTTCCCTGGCGGCACCTCCAACAGTGGTGCGCGTCGGACAAATGACACCATCTGGCTGTCAGTAACTATCGGTTACCTTTGACAAACGCGCCCGCCGTGGTTCGCATATAAATTGTCCATTGGCTGCCCCATTCTGAAGATCGGTTTCTGTTCCTTTTTTGCCTTTCTTTGGTCATTTTCCACAATTTTTCTTCAGGAAATGAAACGATGAGGATACCCGCTATTTGATGCCCAATGTCGATGAACTTTCATGATTACTTTGGTCTCAAATGAGCCTTGAAAAAGTCAAAGATAAAGAACCAGAGGAGGTAGGTTGCCTGGACATGTTGGTTGTCTCCGAAGTCGTGTACCGGTCACTATTTGCAGATCGCCAGCTCTTTGCGATTTCTACGCGGCGATCGCGACCGGCTTTCGTCGCGTGCGCGAAAACTCGCTGCAATCAATCCGCGAATGGCAAAAGCGAATCTGTGCGGCGACGTGACGGAACGCTGGCAGCAGCTTGAATCTCGACTACACGCGCCGCCTTCCGCGCCGCACCTGCGATGATTGACTTCGAACAGAATTGAATGTTGAACTTGCCATCTCTATGAAAAGGTGGGTTCAGAAAGTTCTCAACGAGTATTTTACTGCCCATATCAACGCCAGGCGAACTTCTGAGAATTTCTAGGAAATCCTTAAAAGATGAGTGTTGCGAGCTACCTTGGGCTCCACAGAACTGGCATCGCATCTCTCTCCAGTTCCAACGTTGCACGTATGCAAGCTAATAAAAGCGAACCAGCGAGAGCCAAGTGCGCACTCTTAGCGCGCGCTCCACGGACGAATCACCGGATCGGCTCCAGGGCACGCCATCACTTTTGTGTTCAATTCCTGCAAAAAGTAGCCATACCTAATTCCATCCTCAAATACGACCTTCTCCCCATGCTACCTACCACTTTCCTGGATTTTTCCAAGCTTCCTACCCATTTTCCCGAAAAATTTCTGGTTTTTCCTCAAAATTTCGCTGTCGAGCCGGAGCCTTTAGGATTTAACTATCATTTTCAACTATCGGAAATAGTAGTTGTATAGATCTTTGACAGTCCTCCCCCACAACGACAAAAATAGCGGACACCCCCTTTATAGGCGCTTTCGTGAAACAAGAGAAAACTATCAAAAAATTTCTCTCCAAACCAAAGTACGGACCCCCCCCTTCCGCATCCAATTCACTAACTATTCGTTGCTGATCATCACAGCGATGCGGGCTGCCCTGATCGGCCCCGCTCAACCAAACTAATTATTCATCCTCGGAAGACGATAAAATTGTACCCATTTCTTTGGAGCGACAGAAACACTAATTTGTCATCGGACCTTTGCCCGCAAGTCATTGCATAGCCTACGCGGAATGCAATAAGCCAGTATGACTTTAATTGGGAGCAGAATGCGTGTCGCGTTCCAAATGGGACTGGTCGACGACGGAGATGTTATCTTTTTTATCGCAGTGTAGAAGGACGGGCTTTTAAGCTGGACTGATCATCTAATGTGAATGGCGAAAGCCATGATGGAAGGGTGGCAAAAACAGTTGAGAGCGAGGCAGTACTGCCATTACGGAACTATCCAATTTAATTTAATTCCTAATTTTCTAGATGTATGTAATCTTTTTGAACTGTTCCCATTTCTGCGGTAGACCGGCACCTTTTTCTTTCAAAATGGCGGTCGTCCAGATTCCATTTTTGAAGGAGAACTTTAGCCGCTTCGCTGGACGCAGAGGGCCAGAACTCAATAGTTAATTGCACAGGTAACGCAGTTCCTGGATAACTCAGGGTGACAGATGGCCTACGCTTCATTATCTGAGCTCGGAATTGTGAAAATAGGACACCCCTCCCTAGTCTCATGCATAAATATGACAGCGAAACGGCAAATATAACTTCAAGCTTCGTAGTGTGTTCATTGTGTGATCCTCCCGAAATTGTACACTACCAAACAAAATCGGGCCAAGCGTAACCCGACCCTGGAAACTCAGCTGTCTCTCGTGCGCGGCATTCGCACCAGGACCCAGCTAGTTGACTTGCTGCTGGGTGTCGAATCAGTTAGTAAGGAATAGTGGCTCATTTGTACGCCTAACCGCAACGTAGGTCTAAAGTGTTACGATTTCCCGAAAATCAGAACGCACTGCAAGCAGGGCACGCCATCGTTGTGATAATACAACGGGGGGGGGTCGTATTTGACCGCGAGGGAGGGGGTCGTATTTGGTCTGAGAAAATTTTTTTGGTAGTTGATTTCTCTTGTTTCACGGACGCTATAAGGGGTGGGGTCGTATTTGCTCGTTGTTGAGGGGCGGGGTCGTATCAAAGGATGAAATTGGGGGGGGGTCGTAATTCTCGGGACTTTATCACAATGCAATGGCTTGCCCTGACTGCAAGCGTATGAGGGAGTCACGAAGGTCTCTTTTGTGGCATCGCTTCCGCCTTCCGTTTTTCAGCTTTTTGGTTTGCTACATGAGCGCTTGGCCCGAGCGCCCACCCCCACCCCGCCTTTCAGAGCGAATTTTAGCCGGACCTGTCAAATTCTCGAACTTGGGAACTGTTGCATCTTCAAACTCGGTAATCTGCCCTTTCGAACGTTTACGCAGACTACAAAGCTCAAAACTTAAAAAAAATTAAAAATAAGATTACTTCTTTCCGGATGCGCCATGCACTCTGCTCCAGTCCAAGACTTATGATTGTGAATGTGAGTGGTTTTGAAAGCGATTGATCCTTCAAATACAATGGCTTGAAGGGGCCAGCCAATTTACAGATCAGTGTCGTTCCCTTCTTGGATGACTACTTTCTTGGTTTCAGAGGGTTGGAAGGCTTGACTGTCACGGACGGGAACCGGTCTCAATCCTGAAAAAATCTGAATCCCGGGCCGCAGAGGTGGTTTTGCCACGACGTCATCTGCGCCTTATAGGGAT